AAAGAGGCAGTGGGGACGAAGGGGATGGGGTGGGGAGGAGATGGGGCAGTGGGGAAGGGGCATGGGATGGGGAAGAGAAGGAGATGAGGGAAGCGGGGGCAGGGGAGAAGGAAGGGGGTGGGATGGGGAGGAGAAGGGGATAGGGGAAGCGGGGGTAGAGGGAAAGCAGGGGCAGGGGGAAAGAGGCAGTGGGGACAAAGGGGGTGGGGTGGGATGAGGAGGAGATGGAGCGGTGAGGAAGGGGCATGGGATGGGGAAGAGAAGGGGATGGGGTCTATGGGTGAGGGGGCGCTGGGCACAAGGGTGGGGCACTGGGAGTCGGTGTTGTGCGGGCCTGCCCTAAAGGGGAAGGAGCATGCTGGCAGCACAGGGCTGGGCAGGCCAGTATGCATCTGGCAGCTGCAGATTTGTAAACTGTGCCCTCCTCCTGGGCTGCGCAGAGCAGGACTGCTCCCGCCGCACTGTGCCTCATTGCCGCCAGCCCGCCCATCGCTCTGGAGACTGACCATCCTGTCCCCCTGCGCCTTGCCCCATGGGGGCTCACAAACATGTTTGGCACCGGGCCCACAGAAAGTTAATCTGGCCCTGGCTCCCGGTCGGTGGCGTAGCGGGACTAAGGCAGGTTCCCCATCTATCCTGTCACCGGGCTGCGCCCTGGAAGCGGCCAGCAGATCTGGGTCCTAGGCAGGGGGGGCGGGGACAGGAGGCACCACGAGCGGAGTCCCTTGCCCCCCCCACCCCTCCTAGGAGACGGACCTACTGGCCACTTCCGGGGCACAGCACGGTGCCAGAACAGGTAGGGACTAGCTTGCCTTAGCTCAGCAGCACCGCTGACTGGACTTTTAATGGACCGGTTGGCTGTGCTGAACAGAGCCACCATGGTCATCCGGTCGAAAACTGGACATCTGGTTACCCTAATTGTAAGGCTTGTACGGCCTAAAGCCTAAGGCCTTTGTCTGCAGCCAGATTAGAAGAGCAGCAGCCATTAGCTAAGAAGCAGGAAGTCACATCCTCACATTCTATCTAAATGACATGAAAACACTGTAATATCAGGCTGTTAAGAAGGAGATCCTGTCCTAATGGCACCACTAGCACCAGATACAGAAACAGAGCTTAAGATGGTTAAAGAAAACTTAATGACAGGTTTCAGAGTAGCAGCCGTGTTAGTCTCTATCCGCAAAAAGAACAGGAGTACTTGTGGCACTTTAGAGACTAACAAATTTATTAGAGCATAATACTCCTGTTCTTTTTAAAGAAAACTTAGTTTGACAGCATTCTGTCTGGCAAGAAATCACTTATCAATAGTTGTGGTTGTGAAATTCTCATTTCTTTATTGGTTTGTCTTTATGGTCACCAATTTTCTATTGTTTGTCTGTATGGTCTCTGTCTGGTTCTTTGGTTATTTCTGTCTGTTACATAATCAATTTTGCTAGGTGTAAATCAATTAAGGTGGTGGGGTATGATTGGTTAGAGAATTTTGATACACTATGTTAGGATTGGTTAGTGAAGTTTTAGTAAAATGATTGGTTAAGGTACAGCTAAGCAGGACTCAAGTTTCACTATATAAACTGGGGTCCAAAAGGAAGCTCTTTGGGAATCTACTCCAGGACACAGCCCCAAGAAGTGAGCTGCCAGACCTCAACACTCTGCCAATGACACTGTGCAGAAACTGGAGTCCCCCAGATGGACCTGATCCTGACTGGCCAGCAGGGAAAAGTTCATGTGCCTTATTGGGAGTTGTGAGCACTGTATGTGTAGCGTGTGCAGTCTGTTTTTGGTGATTGTTAATAAATAGAGGTTATATAGGATATTACTGTGTAAGGCTCTTTCACTGGTAAAAGGTCCTGCAAACCCACAGAAAATTACACCTGAGCCCTAGGAACTGGGTAAGGGCGGGTGCCCTAGAGTGTAAGGTTACGCCTTGAGCTCTAGGAACTGGCTAAAGGTGGGTGTCCCTAGAGTGTGTGAGTAACAGAGAATTTTGTGCGGGTAACAACAACCCCTCCTAATACTGCCAGCTCTGGGCAAACAGCTTCCTAGGGCAGGCCCTGTGCTCCCCTCTCAGAAAGCAGGCACACACAGCAACATTTGCAGAAACTTACTAAGGGCAGGCCTGGAACACAGCACTCTTGGGAGCACAGTGTACTGCCTGGGCCCCTAAGCCACCCAGTGACTGCAGCATAAACACCTCTCTGCAACACTGTTGGGTACCACCACACAGCACCCCAGGCCTGACATGCTCCATCTCACCAGGCACATGCTAAATCACTCCTCTGGCACATATTGCAGATACATGCCAATGTTTAGAGCAGGACAGACTAGCAAATAACTTTGTAACAATAGCTAGTGCCCAGCTCTGTGTTGGGGAAGCAGAGCTCAAATCTGATCCCGTTATCCTAGTCCGGGGCAGATCAGGGCCATTGTTTGAGCTGCCCACAGAGATGTGAAAAAACAAGTTATTAGAATGAGGAAGGTCCCTTCTACCCTGACACCACATCTCTGGAGCCCCTTGACCAGGTGACCTCAGCTTTATACCATCCTGGCTCTGGTGAGGCAGCCCCACGTTCAGGACAATGTGAGCATGCACGTGGCTCTTACGGCACTTTGGAACACGGGTCTTAGACAGACACTTCTGCCCCACCTTTGTGATAACGTTCCAGGCTCGCCTCTGTAAACTCGTTTTTAAAACCTGTGCCTTTCTGCTTTCACTTCCTTTTTTATCCAGGATGCTTTTTTAGTCTTCTTTGTAACTGTGGCTTTTTAAGAATCTAACAAAGGACTATAAACAACCCCCAATTATTGCTCACAATTTTCCTTTTAATTTTTTCCTCCCAATCAATTTGGCTCATGATTGTTTTCACATTTGGAAAATTGGCCTCTTTAGGGTGCCAAATGTCTATGTGATTGTTGTGTTTGCAAATAACAAATGTAGCAATTAGGTTGTGATCATGTGCACCCAGACTACCACTTTTTGTTCAGCGACCAATTAATTCACCGTTAGCCACTGGAAGATGTTGTACAGAGTTGCCTTATGTTAGAAAATCATCTGTAATTATTAGAAATGCACAAGACATTTAACTAACGCAGTATTTGCCCCAAGACTGATGGAATGCAGGGGTCTTTCCTGCACCAGAGAGATTTGCTTGTGCTGCTCTCTAGTCTGATTTGGGTTTGTAATGCACTCCTGGTAGCTCACCTGCGACCTAACTCAAGATTTAACTGAAGTCTCCAAGTCTACAGCCCTAACCAACTCCACCCTGATCACCCTGTGCAGCAGGCTCTGCCCTTACCTTCCTGGGTGACAGCTCCCGAGAGGCCAGTGAGGACGAGGAGCCAAAGCTGCAGCTTCTCCATGGTCTTCACCTGCAGAGCAACCCAGAGGGTCAGGAATGTGGAGAAGGGAGGTGGGAGGCCCTGGGCTGCTCTGCCCTGAAACCTGCCCCTGCAATGCCAATCTCCAGGCACTGGAGTTATCTGAAGTTATCCCCGAGTGGAAGTGGAAGAGGAAATGTGTCCAACTAATCCCGTCCCAGGGCGGAGTCTGGAATTGCCTGTTCAAGCCAATTTCATGCTGTTCATGGGGGGATGGCCATTATTAACCCCTTCCTGTGCAGGGTGGGGCCCAGCCTAGCCAGCTGTAGCCACTGACAGAGACACTCCCCATGCACACAGTGGTCTCAGTGTTTGTTGTACTTATTGCCTGTTACATAGTCTGTGTGTGTATGAAATACCCACAAACATCACGCGGCATGTCCTGGCAGTGAGAGATGCCCCCCAGTTAACCGAGCCTTCCCCCCAAACCCCACCCCCAAGCCAAAGCTCTGGGCCTTGACTTCTGCCCTGCTTGTGAAGAGACTCAGGTTCTGTCAGTGCAGTCAGGACATGAATTGCTGAGACAAATGCTGTTCCCGATACAAATACTGTTACACTTACCCCCCAAATCCTGGGCTGTGCAGAAGAGCCCTGGCAGGCCTCAAACATCCTGGTGACACACAGAGGGACAGGTCTCTCTGCCAGGCCCAGCTCAAACCTCAGAGCTTTAGAGATCAACACTGTGAATTGCTGCTGGAAGCAGTGCACTCTGGAGAACTAGGTGCATGCTCTGGAAGCCCCAGAGCCGAGCTATCACCCTTCTGTGGTGGTGACGGCAAGGGGCCTCTCACAGTATCTGTCTGCCTCTGATATCCTTGCCCCTGTCAATCTGGTTCTGCCCAGATGCTGCATTGGCCAAAGGTCTCCCCTGCCGAGGGGTGAAGATCAGGCACCCGTGCTGACGTCATTAGATCTAGAGCAGTGGGTTTCAACCTTTTTTCATTTCGAATGGCAGTGCGGACCTTTGGAAATCTTAGACATGGTCTGTGGACTCCCAGGGCCTGTGGCCCACAGGTTGAAAACCACTGATCTAGAGCCCTGAGCCATTATATTGCACTTGGCAAGTATTTGATCGTGAGGCAGGTAAATATCCTTAGCCCAGTTTCGCATCTGAGGAAGCTGAGACGGCGAGAGGCTTGGCCATGACCAGTCCAAGGTCCCGGGCACTCAGCCGAGTCACTAGGCAGCCTTTTTGCCCCTTGGCTTCCCCATCTGTAACAAAGGGCCTGACTCTGCCAGTGCCATTTTGCACATGGAGGAGCAGGGGCTCGGGAAGGACAAGGGGGCAGGTCCTTGTCCTGACACTCCCTTGCTGTGTGACCTGGGGGAAGTCCTGCACTGATCACAGGCTCTGCACCATGGGAACGGTGGCATTCTCCTTCCTTGGGGGCAGAGCAGTACCTGGAGTGCTGCGGAGGGGCAAGGCAGGCTCCCTGCCTGGAGTTTGCTGGGCTTAAGGCGCCAGCTCAAGTGGCTGCCTTGGTTATCTGAAGAAACAGCCCCAAGGGCAAGGCCCCACTCCTCCTCTCTTGCCTTTTTTTATTTTTTCCAATTTTAAATGGTTGTCTTTTCATCTTCTCTTGCTGACCATACAGGTTTCCATCCTATCAGATAAAGAGTTTATTTTAAAAAGAAACGTTTGAAAGTTTAACATGTAAACCAGGTCATGGGGGTCAGAGAGCAGTCTTGAGTTTTAGGGGAATATTGATAATTGACTGAACTCTTTCGTAGTGAAACCGTTTAATAGGCAGCCATTCTTTGTTAGTTGTCATGCTTTAGCATAGGCAAGCCCGTGTCATTCAGAAACACTTCCCTCCTTTACCAGGCATTCTCTCTCCCATACAATGGACAATGAAATAACCAATAAATAAGATTAAGGAAAACACTGGAGAATTACAGTCTTGGAGACATTGTGTAGCAGGACCTGCAAAGCAACAGGTACATTTCTGTTTATTATTACATTCCAGGGTCCTAGAGGATGAGGAATTTGGGGTGTGGGAGGGGCTCAGGGCTAGGGCAGAGGGTTGGGTTGCGGGGGTGAGGGCTGCAGGGTGGGGCCGTGGATGAGGGGTTCAGCATGCAGGAGGGGTGTGACAGGGTTGGGACTCACCACCTGGCGCCTCCTACTGGTTGTCTGGGGAATTAGCTCTGTCCAGTGGAGCGCCCCCTCCTGGTGGTGTCCCATCCGTCGTCTCGCCCTTGGTTGGCGTGTCCGGACCCGTGTTGCTCCCAATCTTGCGGCGTCCTTTTCGAGCCACTGCCCTCCGGCAGTGCCCCTTAGTCCATCCTCGCCCCCTTCCGGGGGCAGGGGGGAATCAATCAGCTGCCTCTCTGCATCCTGGCCGATGTGACCAACTGCACCCTCAAAGTCACTCCCCTCTTGGCAGGGGGTTGGTGCAGTTCTAGATGGCTGCTCCATCGGCCGGGTGCAAGGCAAGAGGGAAAGGGGGGGACCCAGGCCCACCCACTACTCTGGATCCCAACCCAGGGACCCTCTAGTGGCAGCCGTCCTGCCCTCCTTCTCTCCCTCTGTGTGTCCACATCCCTGGGCCGCTTTCCCTTCAGCCCCTCGCACCGGCTAGGCCCTTCGCTTCAGGGCCTGCAGCCTGACAGACTCCAGGCTGGAGTTACCCTCTGCTCCCCTGGGCCTGCCCGGCACTGCGCTGTCCAGGTGCTAGTCTCCAAGCCTGGAGACAGACCTTCCCCTGTCAAAGGCCTGGGACAGACTCCCTGCTCCTGTCCTAAGCAGCCTTCTTATAGGGCTGAGCCTGGCCCTGATTGGCTGTCTCCAACCTGGGCCCTGATTGGCTCCCAATAAACCCTCCGCTGATTGGCCATGCATCTGTGCAAGCCCACTGGCCTGCCGCAGCACATACTCTCAGGGAGTGGGGCAGTCCGCCCCACTACAAGGGGGCTCAGGGCTCGGGCAGAGGGTTGGGGTGCGGGGGGGTGAGGGCTCTGGCTGGGGGCTCTGGGGTGGGGCTGGGGCTGAGGAGTCTGGGGTGCAGGCAGGCTACCCCAGGGCTGGGGCCAGAGAGGAGGACTCCCCCCATCCCTCTCCCCTCTGGCAGCAGCGAGCTCTGGGGGAGGGGCCCCTCCTCCCCCCCGGCAGCACACTCATCCCACACCACTGTCACTACTGTGTCACTACTCTGTTAGTCTTTAAGGTGCCACCAGACTCCTTGTTGTTACTGTCACTACATGTGCTCCTAGGGCCCCTCTAAGGTCCAGGAAGCTCACTCGCTTCCCCTGTGGTGGGTGCCGGGGGGTTGCCATCACATGTACGCCTAGGGCAGCAGGCGGGGCCAGGGGAGAGACCCAGTCCTGAACATTGGTGGAGCTGGGCCCCCGGGCCCTGAATATTGCTGGAGCCCGGGCACCACAGGCGCATAAAATTTACCTCCCCGGTCTTTTCATCAGAACGCTTGGTTTGGTCTGGGTTGTAACAGAACCCACTCAGGAAAGTATAAGATATACAAATAATACAAAAGTAAGGGTGCAACAGCTCCTATCTTCCCATGCCCTTAAACAGAAATTCCTTCTTACTTAGGGCGGGAGATCCATGGACTTTTGAAAGGTTAGCCCTGAACTATTGGCTAAGAGTATAGCGCAGCTGTCGCATACAAGTGAGTGATCTGTTTCAAGAGGCCTATTGGTTGAAGATGGAAGTGCCTAGAAGTCCCTTGCCAGCACCAGCAGTCAAGCAGCTCACAAAGAGATGTTATATGGGTGAAAATTGTGGGAAATGAAGAAACAAATATACCATTGACACATATGGTGTTTGAGACGTGTCATGGGAGTGGGCCAACAGGGATAGCTGCCAATGAATGTGATCACAAGGACAACGTGTAGGAGAAATATGAGGCCAGACCACTGGCCCAAGTTTGTTTGAGACTCTGGCTCCCCGGCAGGAGACCCAAATGATTTTGTACGGAAGTGAGTCACAGCTACGTTGTATGTAAGGGTATGTCTACACTACGAAATTAGTTTGAATTTATAGAAGCCGGTTTTATTGAAATCGGTTGTATACAGCCGATTGTGTGTGTCCACACATAAAATGCTCTAGGTGCTCTAGTCGGCGGACCGCGTCCACAGTATGAGGCTAGCGTCGACTTCCGGAGCATTGCACTATGGGTAGCTATCCCACAGCTATCCCACAGTTCCCGCAGTCTCCGCCGCCCCTTGGAATTCTGGGTTGAGATCCCAATGCCCGGATGATGCAAAACAGTGTCGCGGGCGGTTCTGGGTACATGTTGTCAGGCCCCTCCCTCCCCCGTCACAGCAACGGCAGACAATAGATTCGCGCCTTTTTACCTGGGTTACCTGGGTTACCTGTGCAGACAACATGGAGCCCGCTCAGCTCAGCTGAGCTCACCGTCACCACATGTCCTCTGGGTGCCGGCAGACGTGGGACTGCATTGCTACACAGCAGCAGCTGCTAACTGGCTTTTGGCGGTAGAGGGTGCAGTAGACTGGTAGCCTTCATCGGCGTTATTGGTGCTGTTAGCCACAGGTAATTACTCTTGCCATGCAAAGCAATATTACGCCTGTTATCC